GATAGAAACCAGAAATGTGTATTGAAATTTGGTGATTTGTGCCAACAGAAAAGCAAAGCAAAGCTAAAGGAAAAGCAAAAGCAAAAGCAAAGCGAAGTGAAGACAAACTCAACTCGTTGAAACTAATTCGGGAGAGACAACAAATAAACGAAACGGACAAACAAACAAAATTTAAGAGCTGCCAAATGAGAATTGTAAATCATTCAATGCAATTACCTCGTTATCTTTGGCCACAGAGCGGGGCGAGCGAGCGAGCAACGGCCTGCTCGGTGTGGGCAGCGGAACGATCCTAGGATCCTGGCCGGGCCGCAGTTACATTGAGTTGTCTGGCATAAAATTGTGATTTTATTATTTTTGGCAGTGCGCCCAGAATGCGGCGCTTAGCACACTCTTAGTACACACACATGCACACACACACTCACACACACTAAAGGTCCCACATATGCTGGCAGCTTTCACATGCAGCGATAACTGCTGGAACAAAAAACAGATTGCGGCTGCATTCAACAATTGCCAAAAGGTAGCAAAAAAAGCAACAAAAAACCAAAAAAAAAAAAAAAAAAATAGAGAAAAGAATGAGCCGCGACCATAAATTATACGCAGTGCATAGACGGAAATTTTTATGGACTGTGACTGGGCCAGGCCCAGACAGCGTCGGGGCTCGCATTCTTTTTTCCTTTTTGGCTTTTTGGCGCTTTTAGTTAGTCTGTCTCTTTTTAGCCTCTTGGCATTGTTGCCGCAATTTTATCACACTTTGATAATCGCATGGCACATGCTTCACGACACGTCAACGGGCGCGATCACGCCGCCATTCGATTCAATTTGGCCGACGCTCGCAGTTTTACACTCGATAAATTTCAACAAAGTGTTTTAGTCACTTAACGCGCGACTTAGTTTCAGCCCCAGCTCGAAAAATTTGAATATATTTTCGCTTTTTTCGGCCTATATTTTGGGTTGCTTTCATTCGTATTTTCTTTTTATTTGGTCACTCGTCACCTTGTTGGGCGACCTTTTTCACACATTTTCCATCAAGCGTCACTTTGGCGATTTGGTTTGCTGCGCTTAGCGCGCAAATTATTTCACCTTTTATTCAATTTACTTTATCCACCGAACGTGACACTAATGTACGGTTACATTGTGCATACCTGTATATGAGCGCGCGCGAGTAGGTGTGTGTGTGTGTGCTGGTGTGTGTTAGTGTGGCATCCATACATCCGGCGGACCATGGGTCGACACACTCACCAACACTATCACGCACACACACACACAGAGGCAGCGAGAGAAGGTGTTTGGGGGCCAGCAAAATCCACTTTTGTTACATTTTTTATGAACACATTCGCAGGGACAAATAACCCGTAAAGTCAGTCAAATCCACGATAAAACCAAAATGCGCACACACACACACACACACAGCGCACAGAGAGATTGGATGTGTGTGTCTCAAATGTCAGTAAACGAAATGCTGCTGCATAGTTTTAGGCTGGCGCATATACAGCGCTACACACACAATACACTGCCGCACATAACGGTACAAATTCAGGCACTCACACGCGCACACATGCACACTTATGCCAGGCCACTATCACCGATGGGCCCTTTCCGGCCCCGAGGCGTCGACAACGCCAGCATCCATTAATGCTTTTTCCATTAAATCCCCAAATAGTGCCTAACTCACACACTCGCACATAGTCCGACCATTAGCCTTGTGAGTGTGTGCGTGCGTGTGTGTTTGTTTGTGTGTGCTCGTGCTTAACTAATACTTATACACTTGGCCAAAGCCATGCTACTACTACTACTAACATCCAACAGTTTCAATTTTGTCCGCTTAACACGTCCAAACAGTTCGAAACGCCGGCAATGACTGAACTGAACTTTGAATCCGTCTGCTACAGTGTCCAATGCTGCCAGCGTCGCTAACTGTAGCATCCTCAATCGCCAGACAGACTGCGCTGCGGCGTCGACAGCGACAGCGACGTCGACGTCAGCGTCGGCGTCCGCGTCTGTCGGTTGAGATTATCTCCATCGGCTATTGCCCTTCGGGTCGAAGCTGTAAGTGTAGCACATCGTCGCGCCATAATTGAACGACGCCGGCTGCGCTGCCAACTGCGACAGCACGCATTCTCTTTCTATTACACTCAATTCTCTCTTTGCTATCTATTCTGAGTTAAGTAACTGTAACTTGCATTGTTGCTACTTGTTCGCTGCGCTTTCATTACTTACGCTCTCCTGCCTTGCGACCAAAGGGTAAACGGTACATTCTGAAGTCAACACAAAACGAAGAGAGACTGCGCGAGAAGGAGAGCGCGTTACCCCGAGAGTTTACGCTATCTCTGTTATTCCTGGCTGATTGAATTATGAAGTTATAAATTATTAATGAGAATAATAAAGCTGACACAGACTTAAACTGTTATTAAAATTATTTATGTTTGCTTTTCGCTGAATTAATGAATAAAACGATTTACGGAAAATTAATATTTTCATTTATAAGTTAAATTTATTTATCATATATCATTTTTATTTTTCTTTTTACTTGCATAATATTATAAAGTGTAGAATATGTACATCAATTAATAATCATATAAATAATTTTTCTTTAAATAAAATGAAATTGTTGAAGTTTTTTAAATTTATGCAGCTTTTCAGCATTCATCAGCATCGCCATTGCCATCGCCATGGTCATTGTCCATTGGAGATTCTGGACAGCGGCACTTCATCACTTGTCTGTGGGCAGCTGCCACTATAAATCACAAGAATGTGCCACGCGCGAATGTCGCATTGGCGCCAAAAGTTATGCTACATAAAACACGACCTGCATAGCGCTTACCCCTGCTCCACGACGCGGCGCGAAGCTTACTACGCAACTTTTAGCGTAAAATGTCATTCACTATTCGCGGACGGCTTTGCTCTACGCTATTTATTTATATTCGTGGCGAGCACATGGAGAGGCAAGCACGTGTTGCTTCATGTCCAAAGTGTGCTCCCTGTTGTCAACAAGGCAACTGCGCATGCTCGCTCTTTCGACGCCGACAGCGGGCAGCGCGTTGGCAGCGCTGCGACAGCGCTGAAAAGTTGAAGGCCCGACCTACGACAACCAAACGAACCAATGAATGTATTGAATTCGACGCATCTGTATGAGTTAGTCGCTTTGTCTGTGTGCCTGTGCGTATGCCTGTATGTGTGTGTGTGTGTGTGCGGCTCATGGAAAAGAGAGAACATCGCATAGCCTAAAGCTGTCAAAGCGCATTATCATTTTCATATATCATACTTAATGCGGGATGATATTTTCATTTAGTTTGTGTGCTCGCATCATGAGAACACTATGTAAGTAAGTATATGTTAACTGCGTGTGCATGTGCGTGCGTGTGTGTGCGGTCTATAGCCACTAAACTTACCAAATACTTAGGTGAAAGCCATTCCTGCTGCCTTAAATAGGCATCATCTTCACAAGGCAGGTAGTCAGGGCAGGTAAATAAATCAGTGCATCTTCTTATTCAACTCAATCGGCAGGTTGAAGTTATTTGCTGAGTCATTAATAGCAAAAGGCGAAAAGCCATTCAACACTTTTAAGCGGCGCAGGTTCTTAATTAAATTTGATGGTATTTGGGGCATACAAAAACCTGACAAGAAAGACAAGGATGACTCGCTACATACATATACATACATACATATTCATATCCATCCATCACACATGAGCTGACAATACAACGCCCGTACTGATGGGCATCTTGACAGCCATGGAGTCGCGGGGCATGCTGCACTGTGCAAGGGGCAAGGGGCAAGGAGCCATCAGGCCATCAGCAAACGACTTGGCCCATTTATGCAAAGCTTTTAAATAAATTACAAAATTGTTATAATTTAACGTGCACGTCAGCTGCCTGAGGCATACACCCGGCCACACAATAAGGCTATTGAGGTCCTTCTCAGCCAAACAAATACAGTTGAGCGAGGGCACACACACGCATACACATTGTGTATGTAACTGTATCGGCGTCCTGTTGCTTTTGGTGTCTCAGCGACTCCTCTACGGTTTGCATTGTGTGCGAACTTGGCCAACACAAAACGAGATAATTTACGCAATTCGCTTATCTCGCCATTTAATTCGAGATTTACGGCTTTGCCAGGCGGGGTCGAGTGTCATTTGTATTAGTATGGGAGTATTTTAAAACGCCAAACTGTGACTAATGACCGCTTTTAAAAGCAAATCGGCATCTAATTTACAAATTCCATACATACATTATATGCATTTAACTCTAATTTGTTGCGATATACTAATGCCAATAGATGGCTGATGCCAATATCTAAAAAAAAAACTTTAAAATCAAACGATATATGCACATAAATGAAAGCATGCTTTACAATTAAAATAGGGTATAAAAAAATATATATATATATATATATATATATATATATTTTTTTTTTAAAGACGAATATTTCCAAATCAAAATAATCAAAAGAAGACATATTCTACTCGATCTTCCTAAAATATTAGGAACTTTTATGTTTACTACGTTACATGATTATCATAATCATTTCCAAAAATAATATAGATTTATATTTATTTATATAGTTAAAAATGTTTCAGATACATATTAATATCTCTTTAATATAAATATAAGTGTATTGAAAATAATTTGGTCTCAAGTGGGATGGAAAAAGATAATAGTAATATTAATTTTGCACACAAATCATCCACCATTAGCTTAAAACTTCTCATATCTCGAGTTTTTATACAAATTGAGTAGAGCACACATTAAAAGCGATCTACCCAACATTTGGTCTTTGATACGATTTGTCAAACACATTCTGAGCTCAATATTAAAGAAGATCCCTCGTATTATTAGCAATAAAAGGTCTTTTACATAAAACTCTCTTCTGCCGTATTTAATGCACGATAAGAATCAGACAGCTAAGCGAGATAATATTTTTTAATTGTTGGTAAGTGCTGAACTTAGCAGCTACAGCATTTAATATATCAAGTTAGGCGGCTTTGAAATCAGTTAACTTCAGCAAACCTGAAACTGACTAATAATCTGACATCAAAACAACTAACTCACCGTCAGCATAATATATAAATATGTACTCGCAGCTGGGCCGAAAGACAAGTCTGTCGCGGCGTTGCGTAGAAGCAAGACCAAACTATATTATGTATAATGAAATATATTAAGTGAAATATTAGTGAGTGCTCCCCATAGAGAGACAATGAGAACCCGGCGAAAGTCAACCCAGTTCAGATCAATGCGATATCCCATTGCTTCCGGTAAGTTTCAAGTAGAACATCTCAGAAGATGGACTGGGATAAACGCGAGCCGAAACTCGAGATGTTTACAGTGAGAACTATAAAAGAACCCAAAACCATGTCAACCGCTTAGCTGAGCATTAAAACTAAACAAATCAACTTAATGTACAGTGTCTAATTATTTCTGCGTAATTAAAGCAGTTAGAATTAATTATAAACAAGAGCTAGGGCGGCGAGCTTTATGACTCTTTACGGTCGCAACTATAAAAGCGTCAAGCTTCGGTGAGAAGAGCCTCAGTTTCTTCTCAGACATCAGTTTTAGCATTTTAATTCAAGTTCAGCTTGGAATATGCCAGTCAACTTTGTTGTGTTGTACAACTGTCTGGTACGAGGCCTGATTGTGCCGCCCATGGGATATTCTTACGAACCGGGATTTAGTCAAGGCGCGGAGCTAGCTGCAGTAGAAAATCCATCATCTATTCAACTGTTTTCCTGTCTGTATGGCGTTCGTGAATTACCTGGCGCATTAAACGTCGATGCAGATCGCCGAGTTTCTTTTCTCACCCTGGATGACCCTCATGAAAACTTGCTCGAAGTCAATAATCAACTGGGCGCCGTATATCCGAACAGTTTGGAAGTACCCAACTCTTCGACGGATGCCGAACTTCTCTCGGTATATCAGTACAGCACCCCAGCAACACCTACTCAGCCTCCTCCAAACCGCCATAAAAGGGGAAAAACGCAACTGCCACATTATTAAATGCCCCAAGTTTTCGGAATCCGTATACGGCAGCGACGGCGGCACCTGCTACGAGTTCCCCAATCAGTGCTTCATGGCCGTTGCCAGCTGCAAGCGCCACAATAATCGACTGCCTCGTAAGCGCTTACCCTCGACTCGTTGAGCTCTCTGCGTTGCTTTACTCAATTTGAGTTGATTCTATTTGCAGGTCTCAAGGAAGTTACTAAGAAGCACTGCGAAAAACATCTGAAACGAGTTGTTATCTAAGACGAAGATTTTTAAGGTGGTTAAGTCTAATTTATATTCTAAACTATAATTTGTAACCACTAGTTAAATAGATTTATTTCAGAGTAGTTCATGGAAAAATCGAAGTACATTAGCAAAAATTCTTAAAGTTTGATTGTCAGTCATAAGCATGAACATGGTCATCTCTCTTTATAAGTTCCTAAAAACTAGAAATATTAAACAATTGTTTTCTAATAAGTTTAACGCTCCTAGGTCAGACCCTTCATATTATACTTATAGAAACATATCCAAGAGCTATGAGCTCTTCTTCTTGAAAGCAAATTGTGTAATCAGAACAAATGAGTAACTTCGGTAAGAATATTATCCAAAAGAGAGATCGAATCGTAGAATTAGAAATTAATTACATAGATAATTAATTGTTTTGGAAAACATAATGGAGACTAGGTCTTCAAGAATTAGAACAATTCTCTTAAGAGCACAACAAATTGAAAGCTTTATCTTAAGAGTTCAGCAAATTGAAAGCTTTCAATGACAATATAACACGATATTTTAATTTGTTAATATATATAATAATGTTTATTGAGGCCATACAAGGCACTCCAGTAAACCCTTTGTGAGCTTACTGTCTACTTATTCTGCCCATTTGGGCGCGCCAACATGATTTTTAATTTAAAGCAAACACAACACCCTCTCTAAACCCTCCCGTAAGCTCGCTATCTATCAAAGTTTCCATATGAAAATATAAATTGAATAGAATTAATGAATCTATTGGCCTGAATGAAAAATATTGCATTTACTAGAACTAACAGTTTGTGTTCAGTTCAATATAAACTTTCTAAATTTTAATATCATATGAAAATTAAATTTAATTACGCACACAGACATACTCACACACACACACACACTATAAAGTCGCAATTGACATATTATTAAATTTGACCTTTCCGCATTGCCAGAAAGCGCCAGCCATACAAAACAGTCGCTTCCGCCTCCCATGGCTACGCATAACTTTCGACGAACAGCCCGACTTACTGCTGGGAACTGGAAAGTACAAAAACAGGGCCAGTTACAACGATAACAACATGGGCGAAAGTGTTGCCAGTACACGAAAACTTTTGCCAGGCGAAATTAAACGGGAGACTGGAGCGAGGGAGAGATAGAGAGCTGAGGGGAAGCAGAGGTCGTTGTGGTAGACTGTGGCATGCGAAGTTGAGTGGTGCAACCACAGTGGCCTAACCCAGGCGGGTGGCCAACAAAATGCTCTCACAAAACCGCATCATTATCATGAGCGCAAGAAATAGAGCAGCGCCTGCCAGGACGAAAAAGAAGTCGATGTAGATGTAACAGACTGCGAGGAGCTGCCACGGAACAGGAAGTGTTTGGTTGCGGCCAGCCCAGGACAGCAATTTTGTGGGCATATCGCGCAGCTTGTTATATCAATGCTGGCATAAAATTTAATAAGCGCTTTATTATATTATAACAGCAGCGAGAGCAGCACAGGCCAAACCAGCCACAGCAGCAGGAGTAACAACAACAACAACAACAACTAGGACAATAACTACACGCAGCCTGGCAGCCATGAGCCAAAGTTCGTTGGCAAGCCAACCCGGACACTTGTTGAATCTGCTACAGCTCTTGTACCACATGCCCTCCCCTCTCCACCCCTCCGCCCCTTGCTCCACCTCTCTTAAGCTGGCAAAAGTGTTAATTGTTTAAGGTAAAATTTGTGTAGCATAATTTCGGGCGTGCTCCGCTCAACTTTTGCCTGTTGGAGCTGAAAGTTTTTAGACCAACCACAACCGCCGCCCACTCGTTATAATTATACTATTAGATTTTTGGCAGATTTTTGGCGCGTTGAGCTGGCAAATTGGGTGCCGCATCTGCAAAAACTGCTAAATTATAGTGAAAACTCGCCCACTGCATTTTCACTTTGAAATGGGTAAATCAGGGTACAAGGGTTTTTTGAGAATGTATGTAACAAACAGTTAGAATCGTGGCTGAACCCATAAAGTATATGTATATTCTTCAGCACGATGAGCTGAGCTGATCTAGCTGTGAATGTCTGCTTTTGTCTGTTATTTTTATCCGCCTGTCTATATAAACGTAACAATTTCCTATGCCATAAAGCCCAAATATGAAATCTTAATATTGAACTGGTGTATACCATACGCCATAATAGCTTATCATTTAAATATTCTTTTTTTTTTTTTTGTTCGAATAATTATTTGAGTTTCCTACTTTCGAAAAACAGATAATTTGCCTTGACTTGTTAAGCGCAACCTAAATACCGCAAGAGCTGGAAATTTTGCTGTATAGAAAATATATTGTATATAATTTTATTTTTCGATCTTGGATAGCTCTTCCATTTTGTACTAAATTTCCTAAGCATTTTTTTGTAAATTGTATTTTGTCAAATATACTCTGATTTTTTTGAACAATCTAGATCTAGAAGAAAAGCTATGCTAGAAATACTGTGGAAATTTCGTTACTAAGTAACTTGTTTTATAGAGTAAGGCAGGTACTGCATAAGCGCAGTCGATGTGTAAGCAGAGCGAGTGCTTATACGTGCGTTTGGATGTGTAATAATATGTGTCTATGCACATGGTATAGCTCGTAAATAACTGTTGATAATTTCTAGATGTCTGCAAATATGTCTCGTATAATCACACTCTGAGAACAAACTCAGTCGGGAGCCCATTACAACGGCTCTTTAATGAGTTCGATTAACGATCCCCGACCTTCTGCTTGAGTTCTATATATTGTCTTTTGTATAAGTATTGGTATGGTATGGAATTGCTTACATTCATTGACGTGAATATGAATATGAAGACTTTCTGAGTGTATGCTCAGTTAATGATTCTTTCAGCTCAGAGCTTCTTTTGCATTCGTGAATTGAGTGTATGCGTGAGAATGAACATGTGAAGACCTTTAGAGCGTATGCTCATTTACCGACTCTCATTGTGCGAACGTCAAGATCGACTCAAAGAGATCAACAGAAAACAAAAATTCAAACATAAAAGCCTTTAGCTCAGAGCGAGAACGAGGCAACAAGATATTATATATAATAAAACAAAGCATACAATGATTGGAATATCAATTCAGAATTCAGGGCATCTCCTAGTCAAACAGTCTTAACTAGAGCGCTTTTACTTCTTGTCTATCTATTTGCTGAGCACGGCATTTGGAATATTTTAAAGCAGAGCAACTAGTCTACGATTAACGTGGCAGATATTTGCATACGCTTCATTGGGTTTCAGTGCGGTAACAGTTGAATTATTGTCGGACAGTCGCAATTCACCTTCGCAATGTACCTCAGCCACACGGCGGGCGACAAATTGTGCTTCACTCATTAATCATGCACGCAAAGTCTTACAGCAGCAACATAAGCATATCCACCGAGCATCCATAACGAGATGCTTAATTAAATTGCATTAAGTTGGCTTTGGGGTTTTCGGTTCAGCGGGCAATTGTTTGTTAATGAAAGTGCCATAATTTATGCAGGCGCTGATTTTAATTCATTGCTGTGGCTTTAACATTTTGCAAATCCATTTTCCATTAAACACACGCAAAAGCAAACACAAGCACACACACACACACATGCGGCTTGCAAGCTGGGTGGCTGGGAGGCATCTTCTCCTGGTGTGGCAATTATTGACAACGACTTGATGGCGTCACGCAATTTCCGTTGATGCGTGCCAATGCAATTATGAAAATTATGCGCCCGTATCCTGAGTGCGCCGCCTGCACTGGCGTCCTAGCTGCTACTGGCTGCCTCCTGTCTGCTCTCTGCTGTCTCCTGTCGGCTTCACAAATCAGTCAGGCGCACTGATAATGTCAGGCGTAGTGGCTTAGCAGAATGCAGAAAAAGAAAAAAAAAAAACCAAGAGAATGCATAGCCTGATTATGGCGCAAACCAAACCAAAACCATTCTTCAGATGACATCTGATGAAGGCTGTTGATGCGGCTTTTGTGCGTCAAGTTGTAGTTGACTTGAGCCTGTAAGCAGTGAGAGATAGACAGAGTGAGAGCGACAGAGAGGAAGCGAGATGGCAATGGATGGCAAGTGCGTGGGGAAAGAGAATATCTATCTCTGTGAGTGTATGTATGTATGTATATGTTGCTTGGCAAGTGAGCTTCAGTTTCAATGGCATTTAAGTGTGCCGTCATCATCGTTGTAGTTGTTGTTGTCCTCTCCGTCCTTTGTCTCCGTCCTCTGTCTCCCGTCCTCTCTCGTCTGTCGTCCTACGGCTGTTGCATTTGACACATAAGTGGTCTTTAATGATATCAAACTTCATGCGTTGCTTTCATTGCTATAACTGTTGGCTCCTCTTTTGCTCTCGACTTGTACTAACCGCAGCGCCCCATCCCGCCCCAACCCCTACCAGCCCCTCTAGTTAGCATGTCAAACTTTCCATACTGCTGCTGTCACAGACTCCTTTCATCTGCAGTCTTGTACATGAGGAGATAAAAAGCCCCAGACAAGCAGGAAAAGGATTCGAGTTTATGTAGGCGGCCCATCATCATCATAATGCTCATCGAAATAATTTCCAGTTGCGCTTACATTTGATGAAGTGTATGTGATTTATGAAACACACGACTCGCCCAAGTCAAGAGTCAACAAGAGTCAAATTATGACAACCCCTCCCCATGGCTATATTAAATCATATTATATTATCGTAATTATTATTCTCTCATGGCTAATCCGTTATTTGCCTTAAAGTCGGCAAATTTCCACGTCTACAATCTGAAAGTTTCAGGCAATTATTGTGTTAAAACTTTTCAGGTAACGCAAAAGGTATGTCACTACGGAATACCCTGTATGCGAAATAATGGATGTAATAAATTTATAAATTTTGCGGCAAATTAGTTTAGTTCTCTGATAATGTTATCTGTGATTTTCGCCTGGCAATCGCCTCAGCATGCGGAAGTAGTCCATGAGCGAAATGCTCCATTGTTATGGCCGCTGAAAGTCGTAGACCTTAATGCGGTTTGCGGCCAGTGGGCAACAGCTGGCGGCGACCCTTGTGAATTTGAAAAGTGCTTAGCCATGACAAAACCTTTTTTCCACTTAAAGGCCACTCGGCTAGAGCCGAGAGTAGGGGGTGGACTGGTATGGGATGGGATGGGATGCGGGTGGTGTGCGTCGGTTCGCGCCCAAGCCGCATTATTTCCAAGCGCCTGGCCAGCAGCTACATTCAATGCCAGTTTTATGCGCGTCCGTCTCGAGCTTTCCTTGCGCGCCTTTTCAATAATGAAAAAATGTACGAGCGCTGAATTTTCAAATGATATAAACGTGGACGACAGGCGGCGAAGCGGGGCCGAGCTTAGTCAAGGCAGACAACTACGACAGTCGCAAAGGAAATGGGCAAAAGCAAAGTTTGGAAAGTGGACGTCGAAGTGGAAAAGGCAAATTAAATTATTTCTCATGAAAATGCGGCCATGGCGGCAAGGAGGACAGAGCGACAGGCGGCGAAGTCGACTAAATTGAAAAGCGTTGACGGAAATAAAACTAAAATGCGTTGCGCGTGGAAAATTACAATTAAATTGACTTTAGCGACGATGCGATAAAAGTAAATTAGCATAACTTATGGAACAACCAATCGAATTGTCGCAACGCAATGCAGACATATACATACATATATATATACCTATGTATATATAGTATGTATTCCCATATCCCGTCTTTGAGTCACTTGTACCTGCCTGCTTATCCTGCTCCTGCCTAGCTCAACTGGCTTTTGTTATTAATGCCACTTGGCAGCTTTGCCTGTCCACTTCAGGTGAAGTGGCCGCTGCACCTGCACCGAGTTACTGCAGATGCCACCGCGCCCACTCCAGGCGCACCCGCTACTTGTCGCTGCAGTGCGTCTTATATTTCTG